CCTTGTAAAAGATAAGACATTTTTAAGAACAACAATGGTAACAATAAAATCAAAATCTGTTACTGCACTACAGAGTACAAATGCTTGGCCAGCTATACAGTTATTCCACCTAATATGTGTGTCACTATTTATACCATCTAAACATAAAACAAGTGCTTGGAGGAGGTCCACTAAAACTTCAAAAGCGTCATGCCTGCCTGTCCACTGAGAATGACATATTTCCTTCAATTCTTTACCCCTTTCTTCACTGTTCTGGAAAAGAACTGAAATTACATCGTCAAGTTCTAAAAGTAGTTGTGGTGATCGATGGAAAAAAGAACAAACTTCCTCAATTGTTCCCAATGCAACTGATACCCCCACCACAGGCACTGATTTTGCCAACCACATGTTTAAGGCACAGGAAGAGCAGAGTGTGTAGATAGCTTGGGGATATTTTTCTAGAAGTCTAGAAGCAACAACTTTCATTTTAGAAGAAAATCCACTGGATACAATATAAGCCTGGCCACGACAATACTCCATATTTAGTCCTCACTTCTCAGTTATTGTAGCGTGAAATTTCACAGCCAAAATTTCCGCATCAGCTTCATGAGGCAGGAAGCCCACAAACTCCTCTCTCAGGTTATGGGATTCATCAACAAACCTCACCAGGCCAAAGTATTTATTAAGTGAAAAAGTGTGTTGATCACATTTGGAATGGTCAGTTTTCATGTTAGAGTAAGTACAGAGAAAAAGTCTGGAGAAACATCAACAAACTGGTAACAGTGATTCTTCAAGGAGGGCAGAAAGAGTTCTGTAGGAGGCTATTAGTTTCTACATTTCTATAATTTTTGAACTTAAAAAAGTGATGAGCTAAATTAAACATCTCCTTTAAAAAATGAGCATGTTTAACAATTATACTCAGAAAAAAATCTAAAAGCAAAACAATATAGAAGTCATACAAAGAGAAATATTACATTGGATTCTATTACCAAGTTCTCATGATTGAGATGAAGGAGTTATATGTAGGATTAATGGGTAATGTGGAGGTGTGGGAGAGAGTTGATCATTCTTAAATTAGAAAACAAAGGTAAGGTAGCTCAGTGGTAGAGCTCTTGCCTAGCACAGGTGAGGCCCTGGTTTTAATCCCTAGCACCGCAAAACAAAACAAAACGTACAAAGATGATTTTGCTGGGCATGGTGGCACATGCCTATAATCCCAGCTACTTGGGAGGCTGAAGCGGGATTGTAAATTTGAGGCCAGCCTGGGCAATTTTGTGAGACTGTTTTGAAATAAAAAAAATAAAAGGGCTGGAGATGTAGCTTAATGTTAGAGTGCCCCTTAGTTAAATCTCCAGTATCATAACACACATACATGCCAAGCATGGTGTGATGCCTGTAATCCCAGCACTCGGGAGACTGAGTTAGGAAGATTGACATGAGTTTGAGAGCAGCATGAGCTACATAGTGAGTTTAAGGGCAGCCTGAATACATAGTGAGAACCTGTCTCAAACTGCCCCCCCCACCAAAAAAAAAATCCCCAGAAAAAAACCTCCACATAAACACATACACACTCAATCCAAAAAACCAAACAATAAAGGTAGTGGTAGTTAATTTGAAAATGCTCTGAAACATAATGAAGAGGATGAGCATACAGGACAGGGCATTTTCTGAAGGATTTTTGGATAAACATCATCATGCTAAGTACACCAGGTGGGCCAATGAATGACATCCCTCTACCTTGTCTCACATCTGTCCTTTGGTTATTTCATGGAGTGACGGTTACAGGTGGGGTGAGATTCATTTCATACTATACACTACAGGAAGCACAATTTCAAAAGCCTCAGCCAAAAACAGAAAGCTGGCAGGGTGTTTGGTCAGGATCACCTGCTTAGTGACCAGGTCACTAAGTATGGTGGTATGGTGCTTTCTGGTTCAAGAATGACCACCATCCTCCCACACCTCCCCATCAGCCATTAATCCTACATAAGATCTCCATGACTTACAAGCTGATGCAGAATTACCTAACTGCTGGGTGGAATGGGACACTCAGCCTCAAACCACTTTCCCTGGGATCAGCTCCATAGTCATGCGCTTGCAGTAATATGACCCCCTGTTTGTTCTCAACTCTGCACCTGCTCTCATCTCCCCCTGTCTGTCTGTGGTTTGGGTGTGGCTCTCTCTGACTCAGGCCTGCACAGCAGTGGTGCTTTCTCAGGTAGGAAGTAGGTCAGGCTGTTTCTGAAGACAAGTCTTAATCAATTAGCTGAGTGTAAGGTGGGGTTTTCACCCTTCCCAAGATGCATGAACTCCAGCCACCCCTAGGAGGAGACAACATATCACACATCTCAAACAAGTGAGTGGCTGTGGCAATGGGCAATCTGACTGCTTGGATTGGTGGGGCCTAAACTGTACATTATGACTAACCAAGGCCAATGCATTTCCTTAAAAATTTTTTTATATCTGGATACCCTTGTTTCCTGATCTAAATATGACTGTGTTCTTCAATTTCTGTCACCTATCATGAGGATGTTCAAATTTGGATCAATTCCTCTCATTCTCCATGCTAGGACAATAGCTGTGATGTGTGCAACTAGGGAGATAGCTCAAGGGTAACTGTTCTCTGTTCTCACTGTTTTAATAATGTAAAAGAATACCAGATCTTATCAACCAACAGCCAAACAAGACAGAAATTTCTATGATCCCAAGAATCCTCTAAAATATAGTTTTTAAAATTTGGAGTATAGGGCTGGGGATTT